GTGTCACATCCAGCTTAACTTAGAGCTTAGAAGCATTCTCCTATTATAAAACAATAGTAAATTTTGATTGAACTTTATTTGTATTAAGTATTTGTAGCTATAATGAAAATCTTCGTAAATCTTAGTTTAGCATTTAACCTAATCTGAAGTGCATTAATTACAGTCATTTGTTGTAGCAGTTGCATCTGGAGAGTTATCACAAGATTTAGTAATATAAGTATATCCGGTCCAGTAGCATTGATCACCAGCCTTATTATAATAACATTCTTTCTAAGTACTGTATATTTAGTACTGAGATATGCTCTCCATTTTATCATCATTTTAATCAGCAGTGATTGGAGCAATTGCGCAAGGTTTATCAGCATATTAAGTTCAATTTCATCCACATAGCATTGATTTAACATGGTTCTTTTCAATAATATTTCTGAAAGTTCGGCAGTGTTTGGAATTTCAACAACATAGCATCTAATTGAATTCTAATATAAATAACAATCATGATGAATTTAGGTGGAAGATGGAGCTCTAGTACAATACTTTTTTCACAATCAGGTGTAGTTAAATCACTATTTATATTCTAAGTCATTTTTCATTGCTTACATTTGTCAGTTACTTCAACTGCAGCATATTCAATATGAGGAAGATGCTGATTCATTTTTTCCTCAGTTCAAATCTTTTGCTGAATTTACATTTAAGTTTAAATTGAAGAAACACAAAAAGCTCTTGTCTGTCAAGCTACTTGTTCTAGCAATAATACTTGATTATTGGTAATTTTAGCCTTTTTAATCTGAATTAAAATTAACTGCAGCGACAGCTAATCTAAAAGATATATAAATGTAATTTATAGCATCTAGACAAGTTCTAGTTGAACAAATTAATACCTCCATTAGCTAATGTACATCCAGATTTTAAAGTACAACAGCTATTGAACCTGCAACACTAAAACTGCCAGAAAAGTTACATCCTGTATTAAATTATTAACAACTATAGCATAAGTGATGTTATTTCAGGTGATTTTTAAACATTCTCTTGCTTCATTAGCGATTTTGTTGCCATAATTTGTGAGCATTTTGCAGATCTGAAGCTTCTTGTACATGTAGCGGCTGTACCTTATTCTTCATAAGTTTTATTTATAGTTTTAACATTAGAAATAGATGTACAAATTGTACTATAAGCTTAACATTTAATATGATCAGCCCTTAAAAGTTGATAGCACTAATTTGATAATAAGGATTTTAATACAAATTACTTTGTTATCTATCTATGTATTATTTATGAATTAAAATATTTTTTCATCCATTCTAAGCATCCAGTATTATTCAAATAATTTTATTTATATTAAAAAAAATTAGTAGAATTAAAGAAAAAAAATTGGTCTAACTTAATTAAATTCACAAAATTTATTTTAATTTAATTTACAAATTTACTGGCAAGATAATGATAATGCTCAAAGAACAGAAATAGATTGATAATGGAGGCTTAAAACGTAGGAAATACCAATCCAAATTTTGATGCGATCAAACAAATTCTAGTTTCTTAATAAGAAGCAAAAGGAGAAAATATGTGGATTTTATTTTTCTCAACTTGTAACTTGGCTTATTTTTGAATAAACTGCATAGTATATCAGCTTAATTTGACATATTTGATAATGCAAGTCAAGTATCCTTGTCAGTATTTATTTGATGATAAACCATCATTTGAGGCTTGAAGATGTATTTTAGATTAATTCCACTACTGTGCTTGTACGCATTGGGATGAAGGTTCAAAGTTTCAATTATTTTTTTTCATTTTTATAATTAAACTTAGAGGAGTGAGTTGAAACCTTTTTAGGATAGTGGCCATAAAAACTATAGTACAAATCTTAACTTAAATTACTTTGTAAATAGAGACCAACTTCCCAGTTGTTCAAAAATTCCTCACGTTAGAGGTTAGAAATTCCTTAGTAACAAAATTACAAATAAATGATCTAATTATTTTGCATATTTAATATAATAAATTAAAATTAACTAGAATTGCTTCATACTAAACCAAAAAGGTTAGTATTTCAAACAAAATTATCAGCAGATGCTTGAGCTTTAAATAATATACTTGCAAAAAGATTATCTATTAAAGTTTAGCTAATATTTTTAGTAATTTTTATATATTTAATTATAATAATAAAAGGAATTTAAATTTGAATAACTATTAACTTTTTTATTAATAAAATGGATAACTAATCAAAGTTCAAATATTTAAAATTGCTAATATCGCTGATATTTAACAAAGTATTTAATCAGCAAATGAAAAAGCTTATTAGTGCTTAATAATTAAATATTCTATAAAAGAAGAAAAAGGCATTATAAGAATTGAATTTAATAAAATATCCATTTACAAATTTTATGACAATTCTTAATATATTCATAATTATGAATGATTGGAAAAATAAGAAATCTTTGAAATCTCATTTCCTCTCCAAATTATTTTGATCTTTCTTACTAAAAAATGATCGACCAACTCTAAATAGTTGTTATATTATTTACATGAGTTTATTTTCATTGTATTAATAATTCATCTAGCATTAAATATCCTTCTAAATAAAAAACAACTTATAAAAATTGATGAAATTAACAAGAGTTGTCTATTGATATCAGTATATTATATTTCTCAAAAAATTTTCATCATTAAAATTAAGTTATTTTATAATCTGAAAGTATTTCGTTTTATCATAATTGAATAAACATTAATAACTTTTAAATTGTGAGCCTTATTTAAACTATAAAATTTAATTCATTTTATTAATTATTTATTATAATAAAATGTAAAATTGCTTTCCTTTCACAAATAACAAATTTTGTAGTTTAAATTAAACAAGTCTAAATGTAAAAAGAGTTCAAAATAATAAAATAGAAGGAGAAATAAAGAGCAAGACATTGTCTGAATAATAAAATTTGATTGATAAAGAACATTATCCGATCAGGTATTTCTAAATATATAAAAAAAGCAAAAAAATATAGTCTAATTTCAATTATTAAAACTCATACTATTCACAGCAAACTATGTACTTCGAAGAATAAATATGTAAGGGAAAATCAGATATAAGTTAAATTGAAAATTACAATTCAGATTTACGTGATTAGAAATAATATTTGAATAAAAAAGCGAGAATATTATTTAAGCTGAGATTAAAAATGAAGAAAATTATTAAAAAATAAATAAATAATGATCTATTTTATAAGGAAGAGAAGTAATATTTCAATGTATAATTTAAATTAAATTAGCAATAATAATAAGAAGATAATATTCTAAGATTATTTTAATAACATGGATTTTAATATATTCGAATTAGTAATAAATATGATTGTCTTTTTTGGCATCATAATATTCTATTTTATTGTTAATCGAAGGATCTTATAAGTAGTCATCAATTTTAAAATTATTTGCTTTAGATTAAGGGAAAACTCTATAATGTTGAATATGATAAAAATAAAAATCCAAAGTTCCGAATTTAGGATGGGATGTTTGATGTTAATTTATATCAAAAGAAGTTTATTTTGAATGGCTTAGGTACTGAATTTATGGGGTAATCAAACAATATAAAGCATCAGGGCTATTTTTTATTTGGATAATTTTAGCAGAAGATCGAAAAACAAGAAATCAAATTATCTACAATAGTTAAAAAAAAAATTATAATTAGAGACGTAGAAACTTAATAAATAATTAATTCAAAGATCTATGTAAATGATAAAAGTTAATAAAACAATTAAAATAAAATTTTCTGGTGTAAGTACAATCAAATGTTTAATGAAAATGATTGTTAAATTTTGAACTAAAAATTATGGTTGTCAAGTAGTATAATTGATAGTTTTGTATTTTTTCTGAATTAATAGAATGAATAAAGGTACTTTACCTTAAAATAAGATGATAGAAACAAAGTTTCAAAAATTTTATTTATTCCAACCTATGTAACAACTTCATTTGGTTCAAATTATAACTATGAAAAATCTCAAACAATATTTTAGAAGGAAATATTATAGTTCTAGGATTTGGAATTTAATTTGAGTTAGATTTATGATTAAATTGGTTTTCCAATTAATAGAAATAATAATCATTGGTATTTTCTTTTATTTAATCTAAAAGAAAATAATATATCATATTATGATTCACTAAGCACAGCAATTTTAGATAATTATCTGCTTTCAACTTTATCAAAATTATTAAAATTTACTCAAAAATTGAATTTTAAAATAGAAGAGCAATTTTAATAGCAAAGAGATGGATATTCATGTGGATATCGTATTTGTTCACTAATGGAACATTTTTCAGAGAAATAATTTAACCCTTAAATTTATTATAGCTATAATGAGACAAGATTAACTAAATTATTATAAGAAGTTATTAGAGAAATAGAATGAATAAATATAAT